TCGGGGAGCCAAGTCTCCGGGATATGCTGCATTCGGCCACTGCCCCCCCGGTTCGGCAGCTTGCCGAAGATATGTTGCTGATCAAGGTTCGGATCCGCCCCGTTATCTGCGGGGGGACCTAGACTTCCCATTTCGGGATCAGGCTCAGCGAGGTACCGGGGAGCACTGAAGACGCAAGGGTGGCCCGGATCTGTGGGTGCCCTAACCCAAATCCATTGACCTCTCCAGTCCTTGTCTGAAGAGTCGTTTGGCCACATGGTTAGGTACTGGGGCCGGGACTCAATCCGGTACCACCCAGAACCATGGCTTCCGTGCCCACTTTGAATATTTGGCACTAGCCGATGGAGCTTTTTGAAGCAGTGCAGGTTCGGCACATACTTGAAGAACTTGCAGACCCATAAGTATGTCATCACCCTTCGGATGCTGGTGGGAGTTAACTGACATAGAGAGATGTTGTAATGGATCAGCAAGTCTCGGACGAATACGTCCAAAGGGAACCTCAGCCCGTACTGAAGCTGTCTTGTGTACACCCCCACATACCCCGGGGGTGGACGATGGATTCTATCGGATGCCGAGGGCATTCGGCACCAATACCCATCAGCTTCAAAAATGCCGTAATGCAACTCAATTTGCTCGGCAAATCGATATTGATCGGCATTCTCCACCCACCATGGGTAGGGGCGGTTCTTTATCATGGCCGAAGCAACTTCGGCATTCTCCCATTCTGAAAACCCGGGGAGGATATCCCAAAGGACAGCGGGAACTTCATCATCCCGTCTAGAAGCGCTCGGCTCCTCCGTTCTCTGAGGAGGAGCCGAGGAAAGGGGAGTCGCCCTAATCCCTTCAGCAGGGTCAGACTCTGGCCTTTGTCCATTCCAGGTCCCAATCCTGTTCCTAGGATCGGGAATCGGCCTTGCTCTTCTTGGAGCACGGGCTCTACCTCTAACTCCTCTTGCCATTGATTATTTCGAAGAAAAAAGTCGAAAGAAAAGGGGAAGGAGTTCGAATTCGAAGAAAAATACACTGAAATCAAAGGAATTTACCTTAATCTGAAGCGAAAGTTGCCGATTTACGAGTTCGTAGTGGCAAGTCTCAGTTTCTAAGCTTAATGCTCGGGGAATTTGCGAAGTTTTGATGCGGGTTCTTGGTTTCTCTCTCGAGAATTCTGGGTTTGTGTTGGTGAATAAGTGAGGAGAGATGACGCGCCTCTGTTTATATCTCCAGGAATGGGATACGAGGAGTCTGCGTTTTAATTTCTCTTAAATACTCCACTAAGTAACCGTTAAACACATGATCTTGTGATTAAACTGCCCATTATCCGTCCAACTTCCACAATCATCTGCCTTAACCGTCGTTATCTCATTAATTACGGTTTAAATTCAAATTTTTGGATTAATTAAATCATTTACTTCCCTCCTTTTCTGAATTAAATCAAACCCGAACCGTCATCCTTCCAAATCGGGTCTGGGGGGCAAGTTGTTTGGGTCCAATTTAGTCCAATTGGGCCTAAGCACTAAATGATCCAATTAAAAGCCCAAGGTCAAGGTTCAACTCTCCAATTGTGCTAAAGTCAAAGGTCAGCCCACAAAGCAAGCCAATTGGGCTAAGGCCCAACCTCTCCATGTATGATGAGGTATAAAAGCCATCAATATTGATACATTCAGATTCTGATTCATTCATAGATTCATATGTTCATTCATATATTCTGATATATTCCATAAAAGCCTCAAGCAACAAACTCTCTTGCATAGTGTCCTCTTCTTACACATTGTACTGACTTTAGCATCGGAGGGGCCTTCCTCGGCAACACCCCCGAGGCTAGTTTACGTGTGTTTACTGTGCAGGAAACCTTCGGCCCAGCATAACTTGGACCGAATCCAGCCTTCTCCATTTCAGCGGACCTTCGGCAAGGTCCCATTGTTTTCACCCGAAACAATAATGATGAAGGGGAAGTTAAGGGATGGGCATACGTTACACGTGGCACCGTGGTTCATGTCAAGTGCATGAAAGACATGCTTCATATGGATTGGGAGAGAAGATACGATAATAATTCTTCTAGCTCGTCGAATAATAATCATGGACATGATAATAATGAAGACTACAATTATGGCACCCGAGACCGCCGTCTTGGGTGTCAAGGAAATCAAGGTTGCGGACGTATGAGGAAGCGTGATTACTTCTTCAGAGGCTTGAAAGGGTTAGCACAAGCTCTTAGTATATTAAATGATCTTGCAATTATTGATTTGGATTCAATAAAGGAGGATATGATGGAATTTGTTGAAAATTTTCAGGGGAACTAAGGTTCTTTTTGGTATGTTGAATTGTGTATGATTGTTGTTTTTGTCTTCCAATAAAGTCAATTTTTTATGTAATTTTTAGGACTTTATCTATTATATCTTATCGTCTATTATTAGTCCGTATATTTTCTTGTCAGTGTTGTTTGATTTCTTGATCATGTGAGTAATCATGCATATTATATATCCCTAATCAATAGTCAATTTTTCCTTATCCCTCAAAATTAAGGATGTCACACAATTATAACACAAAGTAGACAAATTTTTATATGTGTTGTGCACATGCGTCACACTATTATTACACCGTATGTAGTTGGTCATAGTGTGACAAATTCAGAGGTTACAATACATATATGGAGTTAATGAATATATATAAACAGAATATATATAGTTGTTTTTTTTTTTTTTTTAACAAAGAGAATTTACAAAGCACAAACAAAACTAAACCAAACTAAAAACAAAAATAAAGCAAAAATCAACGACGGGCAAAACCCGCAAACTATGAGCAAAGGCAACTGTAGCCCTAGTAACCTTCTGAATCTGATACATACACAGACAAGGTAGCAACAAGCAAAGAAAACTAGAGAAGATGTCCAACCTCGACCAATCCATAGGCCGAAGGAGCTTGGAAATAACATTAGAAAACCAAATCTCAAAACCTAAGATTCACAAATGAACACCTACCCATAGCCTTCTGGTAAAAGAGCACTCACGAAACAAGTGCGAAATAGTTTCAGGAAAACAGTGGCAAAACCCACACCGTGAATCCACGGGAGTACCTTTCAACTGAAGCAAATAAGCGGTGGGCAAAACATCATGCAAAATCTTCCATGATAAAGCATTTTGAGGTTTATTGATGGCTTACTCACCACGTATAAATAAGGTTATTGAGAAGAATAATGTTCTTATTTGGTGAAGTACTGAAGTGACGATAAACTGATAGTGTTAGATTTCAGGAAAACTCCTCAAATTGGAGTGTGTATTATTGATCAATATATAAGCGTTTACAAGACAGGTACTAATCACATTAGGAAACCTAGTACGATAGAGATACAAAATATATACATAATATATCCTAAATCTATGACAAATATTATCATAATATAATATCTATCACACCCCCGCAGTCATAGCGGGAGGAGGTCGTACATTAAAACTTGATCTGAAATCTAAAAATAAGTCTTGTGAAAGGCCTTTTGTGAAAATATCTGCAAATTGATATCTACTAGGAACATATAGAATCCGAACATGACCCAAAACAACCTTTTCTCGAACAAAATGAAGATAAGAACTGATGTTAATTAATCAATGAGGTTAGTCAATTATTAAGTTCTAGAGGGGTTCCCAATAATGTTATTTTTCTCTTAATATGAGTATCATTGTAATATTAAAAAAGAACAATGCGACAATTTTTTCTTATGACCTAGTCTAGCTAAGTAAGAGATGGATATAGGCCAGGCAAGCACGAAGGCTAGCTAGGCATGGTACGAGAATGGCTGACTCGACACGAGCCAATTTCACAAGCTTGGAACGGCACGTGGATTAGGCCGTGAATGGACTTCGATTTTGAAAGGGCCAACACAATTTGAAGACAAACTTTTTTCTAAAGAATTTAGCATGATATAATAATCATACCTCGTTCCATTCTACACACAATTCACTTGAGCACGAAATACATCATACCTCCTACAACAACACCTCTAATTACTTATGTTTTTTCAAATTTGACTTTTATTACCCCATTAATATATTACCCTCAATCCAAGCATGCCCTAACTGTGAGTATGTACCTTTTGTCCCTTACTTTGTAGGTGACTACGTGTGTTAAAAATACTCCATGAAAAATAATGTCATGATGATATTATAAGGGTAAAGACATACCTGTGAATTTAGGTTAATTGTTTAACTTATGAAAATTTTCAATTACCTACAAGGCTAAGCTTCAACGATCTATTATCACATTAACAGTGTAATTTAGATTAGGACTTTTTGTTAAAAATTATCTAATAAAACTCAGATTTTGTGAGAAACTACCTAATAAAAAAATGTTGTAATAAACTACCTAATAAAGGTAAAATGTTGTAAAAAAACTACCTAAAAAAAGGTAAAATGTTATAAAATACTACCTATACCGAATTTTCACCGTTGACCAACCTCCAAACACTATCGAAACCACCATTTTCATTTCCAAAACTAACACAACTTGCTTGAAATTGCCTCCACCACACCTAAACCACCCTTTCAACCCCTAATCCACCATCCCGAGGCGCTAATCTACCCTCACTAACTCGGAATATCCTCCAACCGCCCTGAAAATAACCTTAATTACCACCTTGAAAACCAACCCTCACAGTGGATTTGGGGGTGTTTTAAGATGGATCAACGTCGTAAAATTAATCAACGGTGGAAATTCGGTCAAAGGTAGTATCTTACAACATTTTACCATTTGTTAGGTAGTTTCTTACAATATTTTTTTTATTAGGTCGTAGTTTCTCATAAAATTTAAGTTCTATTAGGTAGTTTTTCACAAAAAGTCCTTTAGATTATAAATCATTTTAACTATATGTTTAATACGAAGTATTTTGACTCCTTCCACTAGCCCGTATGCAAAGAAATAAATGAGCCTCGAGGAATTATAACAATGGTCGTAATTGACCCATTTGGCCGCTTATACTCTCACATCTCATTATGCTGGGCCCATTTAAATTATAAGAAGTATTAGACGACTTGGAGTAGACTTGTCCTTGTGACTTTGTCAATGAAACTACGTTCGTCGTTGCACGAATTTAATCTCTATATCGTAAGACAAGAAGTGAAGAAAACAACTATTACGAGATTTTTTTATACAACTAGTGGTGAGTAATACTGTACGGATTACGAGTATATCCTATTTTTTATTTTTCCATTTCAATTCCTTGTTTATGTGCAAGTTTAAACATTTATTTTGTTTTAATTTTCTTTATGAAAATAAACATGCACACGACACACCCGCACATCTCATCCCTTCCCCAAAAAAACTAATCCAAATGGATTGGTTAACCCCAGCCAATTAGATGGTTCATTTTTCATGCAGCTAACCCATTATTGAATTAAGACTTCGATGTTGTTATTGTAGCTAGATTCTAAAAAATAATGTTACAGAGTTTTTTTTTTTTTTTTTTTTTTTTGAAAAGTTATGCATTGTAATTTGGAAAAATATCATATCGATACTAAAAATCTAGCATTTAATTTTATTTTATTTTATTTTTTATTTTTTTTGTTATCTTGACTAGTTAGGTTGATCAACACATCAAAGCTAGCTATAATGGGAGCATACATCTGCGCACATCCTTCCCTAAGAGAGAAAGAGTTTGGCGATCGATTCGTGTTCACCTGTGACGGATGTGAGGAAACGGGGTATGGCTCTTGCTATACATGCACAAATAATTGCGACTTTCATTTACATAAAGCTTGTCACAACGCTCCCCCTACAATCAAGTCTCACCCATTTTTCATACAAGGGCCTTTTGTTTTAGACAAGAGTATCATATTAGCACCACAAGCGGCACATAATTGTGCCGCTTGTGGAACAAGTGTACAAGGGTGGAGGTATGTATTGACTACTAATAATATATTTAGTCATAATACTATCTATTTACACCCTTGTTGTATGCAACTCCCTCACACGGCCTTGCTCCCCGTGCTTAAAAGCATAGATTGCTTGCATTGTCAAAGCATGGTGAGAGTTGGAAATAATAATAATGATGAAGGGGAAGTTAAGGGATGGGCATACGTTACACGTGGCACCGTGGTTCATGTCAAGTGCATGAAAGACATGCTTCATATGGATTGGGAGAGAAGATACGATAATAATTCTTCTAGCTCGTCGAATAATAATCATGGACATGATAATAATGAAGACTACAATTATGGCACCCGAGACCGCCGTCTTGGGTGTCAAGGAAATCAAGGTTGCGGACGTATGAGGAAGCGTGATTACTTCTTCAGAGGCTTGAAAGGGTTAGCACAAGCTCTTAGTATATTAAATGATCTTGCAATTATTGATTTGGATTCAATAAAGGAGGATATGATGGAATTTGTTGAAAATTTTCAGGGGAACTAAGGTTCTTTTTGGTATGTTGAATTGTGTATGATTGTTGTTTTTGTCTTCCAATAAAGTCAATTTTTTATGTAATTTTTAGGACTTTATCTATTATACCTTATCGTCTATTATTAGTCCGTATATTTTCTTGTCAGTGTTGTTTGATTTCTTGATCATGTGAGTAATCATGCATATTATATATCCCTAATCAATAGTCAATTTTTCCTTATCCCTCAAAATTAAGGATGTCACACAATTATAACACAAAGTAGACAAATTTTTATATGTGTTGTGCACATGCGTCACACTATTATTACACCGTATGTAGTTGGTCATAGTGTGACAAATTCAGAGGTTACAATACATATATGGAGTTAATGAATATATATAAACAGAATATATATAGTTGTTTTTTTTTTTTTTAACAAAGAGAATTTACAAAGCACAAACAAAACTAAACCAAACTAAAAACAAAAATAAAGCAAAAATCAACGACGGGCAAAACCCGCAAACTATGAGCAAAGGCAACTGTAGCCCTAGTAACCTTCTGAATCTGATACATACACAGACAAGGTAGCAACAAGCAAAGAAAACTAGAGAAGATGTCCAACCTCGACCAATCCATAGGCCGAAGGAGCTTGGAAATAACATTAGAAAACCAAATCTCAAAACCTAAGATTCACAAATGAACACCTACCCATAGCCTTCTGGTAAAAGAGCACTCACGAAACAAGTGCGAAATAGTTTCAGGAAAACAGTGGCAAAACCCACACCGTGAATCCACGGGAGTACCTTTCAACTGAAGCAAATAAGCGGTGGGCAAAACATCATGCAAAATCTTCCATGATAAAGCATTTTGAGGTTTATTGATGGCTTACTCACCACGTATAAATAAGGTTATTGAGAAGAATAATGTTCTTATTTGGTGAAGTACTGAAGTGACGATAAACTGATAGTGTTAGATTTCAGGAAAACTCCTCAAATTGGAGTGTGTATTATTGATCAATATATAAGCGTTTACAAGACAGGTACTAATCACATTAGGAAACCTAGTACGATAGAGATACAAAATATATACATAATATATCCTAAATCTATGACAAATATTATCATAATATAATATCTATCACACCCCCGCAGTCATAGCGGGAGGAGGTCGTACATTAAAACTTGATCTGAAATCTAAAAATAAGTCTTGTGAAAGGCCTTTTGTGAAAATATCTGCAAATTGATATCTACTAGGAACATATAGAATCCGAACATGACCCAAAACAACCTTTTCTCGAACAAAATGAAGATAAGAACTGATGTTAATTAATCAATGAGGTTAGTCAATTATTAAGTTCTAGAGGGGTTCCCAATAATGTTATTTTTCTCTTAATATGAGTATCATTGTAATATTAAAAAAGAACAATGCGACAATTTTTTCTTATGACCTAGTCTAGCTAAGTAAGAGATGGATATAGGCCAGGCAAGCACGAAGGCTAGCTAGGCATGGTACGAGAATGGCTGACTCGACACGAGCCAATTTCACAAGCTTGGAACGGCACGTGGATTAGGCCGTGAATGGACTTCGATTTTGAAAGGGCCAACACAATTTGAAGACAAACTTTTTTCTAAAGAATTTAGCATGATATAATAATCATACCTCGTTCCATTCTACACACAATTCACTTGAGCACGAAATACATCATACCTCCTACAACAACACCTCTAATTACTTATGTTTTTTCAAATTTGACTTTTATTACCCCATTAATATATTACCCTCAATCCAAGCATGCCCTAACTGTGAGTATGTACCTTTTGTCCCTTACTTTGTAGGTGACTACGTGTGTTAAAAATACTCCATGAAAAATAATGTCATGATGATATTATAAGGGTAAAGACATACCTGTGAATTTAGGTTAATTGTTTAACTTATGAAAATTTTCAATTACCTACAAGGCTAAGCTTCAACGATCTATTATCACATTAACAGTGTAATTTAGATTAGGACTTTTTGTTAAAAATTATCTAATAAAACTCAGATTTTGTGAGAAACTACCTAATAAAAAAATGTTGTAATAAACTACCTAATAAAGGTAAAATGTTGTAAAAAAACTACCTAAAAAAAGGTAAAATGTTATAAAATACTACCTATACCGAATTTTCACCGTTGACCAACCTCCAAACACTATCGAAACCACCATTTTCATTTCCAAAACTAACACAACTTGCTTGAAATTGCCTCCACCACACCTAAACCACCCTTTCAACCCCTAATCCACCATCCCGAGGCGCTAATCTACCCTCACTAACTCGGAATATCCTCCAACCGCCCTGAAAATAACCTTAATTACCACCTTGAAAACCAACCCTCACAGTGGATTTGGGGGTGTTTTAAGATGGATCAACGTCGTAAAATTAATCAACGGTGGAAATTCGGTCAAAGGTAGTATCTTACAACATTTTACCATTTGTTAGGTAGTTTCTTACAATATTTTTTTTATTAGGTCGTAGTTTCTCATAAAATTTAAGTTCTATTAGGTAGTTTTTTCACAAAAAGTCCTTTAGATTATAAATCATTTTAACTATATGTTTAATACGAAGTATTTTGACTCCTTCCACTAGCCCGTATGCAAAGAAATAAATGAGCCTCGAGGAATTATAACAATGGTCGTAATTGACCCATTTGGCCGCTTATACTCTCACATCTCATTATGCTGGGCCCATTTAAATTATAAGAAGTATTAGACGACTTGGAGTAGACTTGTCCTTGTGACTTTGTCAATGAAACTACGTTCGTCGTTGCACGAATTTAATCTCTATATCGTAAGACAAGAAGTGAAGAAAACAACTATTACGAGATTTTTTTATACAACTAGTGGTGAGTAATACTGTACGGATTACGAGTATATCCTATTTTTTATTTTTCCATTTCAATTCCTTGTTTATGTGCAAGTTTAAACATTTATTTTGTTTTAATTTTCTTTATGAAAATAAACATGCACACGACACACCCGCACATCTCATCCCTTCCCCAAAAAAACTAATCCAAATGGATTGGTTAACCCCAGCCAATTAGATGGTTCATTTTTCATGCAGCTAACCCATTATTGAATTAAGACTTCGATGTTGTTATTGTAGCTAGATTCTAAAAAATAATGTTACAGAGTTTTTTTTTTTTTTTTTTTTTTTTTTTGAAAAGTTATGCATTGTAATTTGGAAAAATATCATATCGATACTAAAAATCTAGCATTTAATTTTATTTTATTTTATTTTTTATTTTTTTTGTTATCTTGACTAGTTAGGTTGATCAACACATCAAAGCTAGCTATAATGGGAGCATACATCTGCGCACATCCTTCCCTAAGAGAGAAAGAGTTTGGCGATCGATTCGTGTTCACCTGTGACGGATGTGAGGAAACGGGGTATGGCTCTTGCTATACATGCACAAATAATTGCGACTTTCATTTACATAAAGCTTGTCACAACGCTCCCCCTACAATCAAGTCTCACCCATTTTTCATACAAGGGCCTTTTGTTTTAGACAAGAGTATCATATTAGCACCACAAGCGGCACATAATTGTGCCGCTTGTGGAACAAGTGTACAAGGGTGGAGGTATGTATTGACTACTAATAATATATTTAGTCATAATACTATCTATTTACACCCTTGTTGTATGCAACTCCCTCACACGGCCTTGCTCCCCGTGCTTAAAAGCATAGATTGCTTGCATTGTCAAAGCATGGTGAGAGTTGGAAATAATAATAATGATGAAGGGGAAGTTAAGGGATGGGCATACGTTACACGTGGCACCGTGGTTCATGTCAAGTGCATGAAAGACATGCTTCATATGGATTGGGAGAGAAGATACGATAATAATTCTTCTAGCTCGTCGAATAATAATCATGGACATGATAATAATGAAGACTACAATTATGGCACCCGAGACCGCCGTCTTGGGTGTCAAGGAAATCAAGGTTGCGGACGTATGAGGAAGCGTGATTACTTCTTCAGAGGCTTGAAAGGGTTAGCACAAGCTCTTAGTATATTAAATGATCTTGCAATTATTGATTTGGATTCAATAAAGGAGGATATGATGGAATTTGTTGAAAATTTTCAGGGGAACTAAGGTTCTTTTTGGTATGTTGAATTGTGTATGATTGTTGTTTTTGTCTTCCAATAAAGTCAATTTTTTATGTAATTTTTAGGACTTTATCTATTATACCTTATCGTCTATTATTAGTCCGTATATTTTCTTGTCAGTGTTGTTTGATTTCTTGATCATGTGAGTAATCATGCATATTATATATCCCTAATCAATAGTCAATTTTTCCTTATCCCTCAAAATTAAGGATGTCACACAATTATAACACAAAGTAGACAAATTTTTATATGTGTTGTGCACATGCGTCACACTATTATTACACCGTATGTAGTTGGTCATAGTGTGACAAATTCAGAGGTTACAATACATATATGGAGTTAATGAATATATATAAACAGAATATATATAGTTGTTTTTTTTTTTTTTTAACAAAGAGAATTTACAAAGCACAAACAAAACTAAACCAAACTAAAAACAAAAATAAAGCAAAAATCAACGACGGGCAAAACCCGCAAACTATGAGCAAAGGCAACTGTAGCCCTAGTAACCTTCTGAATCTGATACATACACAGACAAGGTAGCAACAAGCAAAGAAAACTAGAGAAGATGTCCAACCTCGACCAATCCATAGGCCGAAGGAGCTTGGAAATAACATTAGAAAACCAAATCTCAAAACCTAAGATTCACAAATGAACACCTACCCATAGCCTTCTGGTAAAAGAGCACTCACGAAACAAGTGCGAAATAGTTTCAGGAAAACAGTGGCAAAACCCACACCGTGAATCCACGGGAGTACCTTTCAACTGAAGCAAATAAGCGGTGGGCAAAACATCATGCAAAATCTTCCATGATAAAGCATTTTGAGGTTTATTGATGGCTTACTCACCACGTATAAATAAGGTTATTGAGAAAAATAATGTTCTTATTTGGTGAAGTACTGAAGTGACGATAAACTGATAGTGTTAGATTTCAGGAAAACTCCTCAAATTGGAGTGTGTATTATTGATCAATATATAAGCGTTTACAAGACAGGTACTAATCACATTAGGAAACCTAGTACGATAGAGATACAAAATATATACATAATATATCCTAAATCTATGACAAATATTATCATAATATAATATCTATCACACCCCCGCAGTCATAGCGGGAGGAGGTCGTACATTAAAACTTGATCTGAAATCTAAAAATAAGTCTTGTGAAAGGCCTTTTGTGAAAATATCTGCAAATTAATATCTACTAGGAACATATAGAATCCGAACATGACCCAAAACAACCTTTTCTCGAACAAAATGAAGATAAGAACTGATGTTAATTAATCAATGAGGTTAGTCAATTATTAAGTTCTAGAGGGGTTCCCAATAATGTTATTTTTCTCTTAATATGAGTATCATTGTAATATTAAAAAAGAACAATGCGGCAATTTTTTCTTATGACCTAGTCTAGCTAAGTAAGAGATGGATATAGGCCAGGCAAGCACGAAGGCTAGCTAGGCATGGTACGAGAATGGCTGACTCGACACGAGCCAATTTCACAAGCTTGGAACGGCACGTGGATTAGGCCGTGAATGGACTTCGATTTTAAAAGGGCCAACACAATTTGAAGACAAACTTTTTTCTAAAGAATTTAGCATGATATAATAATCATACCTCGTTCCATTCTACACACAATTCACTTGAGCACGAAATACATTGACACGATACGTGGGTCTACACGGTATATGTGCCCACCTTTACTTACGACCTTTAACGTACGTTGCTCTAAAATAAACGTTAAATCACGATTATTACCGCTCATGGTCATCATACAACATCATATATCTTTCCAAATTTGTTGTACATGCTTGTCCAATAAAATTAACCCATGCATATCTTTCCAATTCGGGTCTGACCCACTTAAGAACAACTTAAGAAGCGTTAATCCACTTGACTCAGTTAATGATTCCACTCAACTAAGAAGTCTTGACTAAGTCATTTGTACGCTAATAAACTAACGTCTCTGATAGAGTATAAAACATAATTTTGGGCCTCAACCATCAGCTTAAGTTTTTGGTTGAGTTGGTCCTTTAACATGATATCGGAGCCAACGTGACATAGAGGTCACGGGTTCGAATCTCATTCACCCTCCACCTTTAAGTGGAATATTAAGCGCTGGGTATGAGGAGGGCCCATGCTGCATCCACACTTCAAGCCCAACGGGCTCTCGTGTTAGAGTATAAAACATAATCTTGGGTCTCAACCATCAGCTTAAGCTTTGATGACTTTGTATTTTAGGAAATAATATGTATAACTTGTAAGAAATGAAAAGAAAAATCTTATCCAAAATACTTGTACAAAAAAAAATTGATCTATGTAAACGCGTAGTTTACATTTCTGCTCGACCAAGATGGTTGTGCAATAGATTTGCTAATCAAAATAAAATAAAATTAGATATATGATAATGATATATTCCAGTATTCCATTGACTCTATTTGTTTGTTTCTTTTTTCATTTTGATCGTCTCAACAATTATTCTTTGTATTCATTGTTTACCTCACTTGCATACACTCATACAAATGAAAAAGACTAAAATTTGGTCCAAACCTTAATATGAATCGGAGTAAACACGTTTTTGCCTGGGCCAAACAAATATGGATAGAAAGGGGAATATAGACAATAACTACATGAGTGAAGATCTACCTATAAATTTAGGCTAATAGCAAATTAACTTATGAAAAATAATCAATTACCTTCAACCATCTAACAATCACATTGACAACGAAATTTAGAGTTTAATTTAGACGGCATACTTCTATTTCTCTGTTTTAAATTAGCTAACATAGGGTGCTAATCGGGCGAATCAAACTCGAACTATGGTCAGCTCGGCTCATGTTTGTTTTAAGTTTATTCCAACTCAAGCCGAGCTCAAAACTTTAAGAGTTGAGTTTTGATCGAGCCGAGCTTTGACTAAGTATTGACCGAGCCGAACTCGAAAACCGTTTGGAATAACGAACTTTGACTTATTATTATCCTTAGTTTACTTGTCTTCTTTACTGTTATTAAATTTTTAATTTTGTGATGAGTTTTTTTTTTTTTAAATGAATATATTAACTTATCATTGTGTAATATCTATGATTAATATAAATATGTTCATATACATGATTTTTTTATATACAAAAGAATAATCAAGCTTTTTGAGCCGAGCTTAGCATAACTCAGCTCGGCTCATCATTAGATCTCAAGCCGAACTCAAACCCAAGCCGAGCCACCACGAATTGAGTTTTGACCTAACTTTGACCGAGTCGAGCTCGAACTGTTCACGAACAACTCGGCTCATTATCACCTCTAAGCTGACATGTTTCTTTTATCACGACTACCAATATATAAATGCATCAATAAATAGTGTTAAAAGTTAAAATCTGTAAACTATTTTAAAATGGAATAATTAATATTAAAGTATATACATATACAAAAAAAAATGCTGCCTCTATTTCATGATATACTGCCTGTATCATTTTGCACAATTTTGAAGACATACTTTTAACTATATTATTAATCTATCCACATATATATATATATATATATATATATATATATATATATATATATATATATATATATATATACACATTGGTTAACATTATAAAATTTTAATTTTTCGTATTATAAAACTATACATAATTAAGATGAATCTAATACTATACTCCATAATACGATCATAGTATATTTTAATGGGAATCTCCAAGTGAATAAGTGAATCAATTTCATTATACTTGTATAAATTAAATGACTTAGTCAATCAAGACTATGAATAAAATTAAATAATGGTCACACACGGAGATAAACACGTCCATAATAGTAGTCCAACTAGTAACGAGCAAACCTCAAATTGCCAATATTAATTAGAAAGGACAAAAAATTATGAATTATATTCCATGAAGAAAAGTCTATATTATAATTCCATCCTCCATATATATGTATTGCATAAACATTGGAAGATCATATAATCCAGAAACTAAGAAGAAGAAAAATACTTACGGCCCTTTAACCTTCATTCATTGCGGTAAATTATACTTTTAATTTTATTATTTTCTTCATATTACTTTCATTTTAGTAGTTTTTATTACCATTTTTCTGATTTTTCTTCACATTACCTTCTATAAATTAGTCATTTTATTATTTTATATGCTCGGTTATGACAAAACTTGTGATCTAATTTTAGGAATGTAACTTAGTATAATCAAACAGTAATCTAAGGGGTTAAGCCAAGTACATGAATTAAATTAATTGTGAGATTTAAAAAAAAAAAAAACACTTTTTTTTTATATAAAAGGCAATATTGTCAAGGTTTTTGTTTAAAATACGGTATATTTGAATGGTAAATTGAAATGAAAAGAGTTTTTAACACTTTAACCAAAAAGCCCTACTTTAAGTAGCGGTCATTTAATTGCTTCATACATTCATACTAGGAACTTTAATATGCTATGGTTAATGCCCTCAAGTTTTTCCATATTTTGCATAAAATGACCTCTAATTTGTTCATTAATTAATGTGCAATATGCAAACATGAAATTCAGGAACAACTGTGATCCACCATGACTAGCAAATCTGCAGCAGCAACACAGAAAAAACAAGAAACGCAGCAGAACAGTAGCACTCGAAACAACGGGGCAGCAGCAGTTAAACCAAAGAAAAAAGGCATAAAACGTAAGATCCTTTGGAAAGTTACCAAAATGGTTATAAGACATTCAGTCTACCATGCTATAGGAATGCCTCATCTCAGTTTCATGGAGCTCGCCGGCCATCTACTCAACTGATCGATTGGGAGGTTATTGGTTGCTCATCGTTGTACTAAGATTCATGGTGTACTTAGTCTGATCAATTGGGGAGACATTGGTTGAACGTTGCCATACTAAGATTCATGGTGTACTTATTTAACAATCAATTGTCTTGATAATATCATACTATTATGCATGAGTGATTGATCAAGTGGTTTTTATACTTCATGAATAAGATGTTTTCTTATTCAGTAATTAAATATATGAATGGTTGAAGTTGTGCATTGGAAAACGTGACTAAGAAAACGTATCAACTAAAAAAAACGGAGGAAGTAGTGATTTTGCAAGTCACAATTTGACTATTTTCCTCATTTCTCTGTTTCTGTTAATCACCATTCTAAATTTTTGACAAGAATGGTAGGATTACCTAAAAATTAGAGAGTAATTAACACTCGTAAAATAATACAGGAGTATTACGTATTTTGAAGTCCAATACGAAGTGTATAGCACATTGGGCCAATTAGCACACCTATGAGCTATCTCAGGTACATAACAATGGCCGAACCAGCATCCTGGCCCATTACTATATGAGCATTCTGACACTGTGTACTGCGTCACAGCTTTCCGGTATAGAGATTTGTCTAAGGTCAAAATAGGCAGAGCACAGACCGCAGATGCACTGAAACTGTGCTCTGCCTTACAGCTAGTTCTCCGTTGTAGAGATTGTCTGACCCCGTTAGAGGGCTACCTTCGTACCCATTGCATAGTTGTTTAATATCAATCATGCCTACTAGTAACTATGAATACAAGAAACACCAGTAAAGATTGTTGCCATGCAATTTTTACATGTTACAAATGCATAGTAGTATAGTACAAAGTATCAAGCAGATTAAAAGGATTTGATCATCTTGGTAACACCATAGTCATTGCAGTCTGTAGATGCAACTCATGCAAGTTCCAATAAAACAGTATGTCCACCTTGTCTCTATAGACCCATGGAAAAGCCACAAGGTTCAAGGGGAATAATGAAAAAGAAAAGAGAAATAACTAAATAAGACAAATCAAGTATGAAGAAATGAATCTGAAGGCACTTTGAACATTATCTAAATTAAGGATACACTTTTAAGCACTTCTTTCTAGATGATAGTTTGAGTAATGGCAACTCCAAATACAAGTATGTATCATCTTTTCTACTCTTAACAAAAAGATGAAACAGATAAGATATCATACCGATTGCATTAAGGATTGCTCTTCAATGCATCATAATGGCCATACCCATGGTAAAGAACGCAAATTGAGTTCTGCGTACCATACTCTTGTCCATATTCTGCTATAATTTTAAGGTTACTGGATTTCTTTTCAAGCATGTAGACGGTGATGGGCATCCTGAAGACAAAGGTATGAAAATTGTCAAAACAGCATAGAAATTATTAATGCTAATGTTATCAAGCCTTTACAAGGACAAATTACTAGCTAATTGCTCCAAATTTTTCTACATTAAGCTTTGCTCTTTCCTCCCCACAAAAATAAGTTTTAGAGAGTATGTTCAACTATTCAAGTAAAATCGGGTTCAATAAATTTAGAGAAATTCACACGAGGGCTACTCAAGTTCACCTCGCAACAAAATTATACTTGGGAAATCTTCAAATGAGGTTTTTTTTTTTTTTTTTTGAGAAACATGTTCAAATGAGGTTAATAGACTCAATAAAGTTCAAATAAGGGGTTTTGGGTGAAAAGAATGAAGCCTAAATTTGCACATATTCTAAAATCAGGATAGTTTGGGTGTCTATATTGATGATGCTAAAGAAAGATTTTTCTTCGAAAATGAGCTCAAACTTTAACAAACAAAGATGAAAAAAATGCATTTAGTATTATACTATGTGAACGGTATTAGAAAACTTTCACTTACTTCAGAACATGTGAGGCCATGAGAAGCTCAGGTTCTCCTCCCCAAACATAGGATTTTCTCATCTGACAGATATATCTGTCAAATTTATCCTTCAGATACCTGAACAATAATTTACAGAAAAAATGGTGATGGAAAGAAGCAGAATAATTTCCTATGATTTCATGGTACATAATACAATTACTATAATAGAGACTGAATGATTTATATAACTTAGAGCATGGTCTTCAATGGCAATTACCATTCAGTATCTTTGCGTCTCTTGATCAATTCATCCACAACCTGTAAGAGGCAAACAGAATATTTAGCTAAGAGAAGGTCAAAAAAAGCTACACGAACAAGATACTGCCCTATCAAGTATCAACATACAAAAAAAAAATACTAAATTCAATAAGCCAAAACAAATGTTGATAATCATTAATCAGTCCACGAGACCTTGTAATTAATAAATTCTCACTTACCTTGTCTCTAAGTTCATCTGCGAGTTTCTTTTGAAGGCTCTCACTTGGAGTCAGCATCCCTTTTAGAAGACAGGAACCCTGAACCACAGCTCGAAACAAACAACTGCCATCTCCAGGTATACCTGGAGGAAATGCATGGAATTATCATGTCAATAGCCAATATATACAACTGCTAACTCAAAGTAATACAACATCCCATGTAAATAAAGTTTTTTTTTTCCTTGTGTGACTTGTTAGGTTGTTGGTAGTGCAAGAGATGAATGAATAAAAATTTCAGTTTTGACTCAGAGTAGATTAACAGAACATGAAGATACATCAACACGATGGTAGATCAGATAGCCCTACAATCTCAGAACTTCCCCTTCACAAACTAAGGAGCTTGTTGTATTTGACAAATTGAACGAGCCTAACATGATACTAGAGAGATTTTGATTAAACACATTGTAATCTAACAAAGTAGTGTTCATCCAAGAGCTAAACAAAAATGCAATGGGAATATGTTATGGCTCTAATCCCCAGGCATCAACAAATTGGATTCTACTAGCATGATGCCTGCCTTCATAAACTTCGGAGATAAATAGATAATGCTTTGCGATGAAGTTCAAAAGTATTCTTGCATAATACTCGTATTATCACTAATACAGCAAAATCAATGCCCAAATCAACTTCTTAGATTTTCCCTCAACCTCAACCAACCAACAGATGACCAGATGTCTTGCTAATTTCACAATCTCCTAGCTACATAGATTTTATTGTCAGCATATCTTACAACAAGCTTACATGCAACTCAATTCATACATTTCATAAAATTATGACCAACTAATCAAAATACTTATTCCAAAATTAGTCAGATATTTAAGATAAACATCCAAATTTTGTTCACCTTGATTATAAACTCACTGAACATCATTCCAAAATTCAAATGCTACCACAATCAACCACCGCCTGCCCTCCGGCACAAGAAAAGGTAGTTAAATGAGCTTATCCATCTCCATAAGGACCATAATCCATGACGGTACTGAACTTTTCTCCCTACATTCTACAATATATGTGAAACTTGACAAATATGATATTCATAACAAATGTACAATCTAAATGCTAAAAATTAACACAACACACAACAAATAATTTAAGCAAACAAATACACTATACTGCTATAATCTTAAATATACGTACCAAAAAAAAAAACACATCCAATTCAAACAAAAATAGAATTTATATATTACTATATTAAGAAAGAATTAAACCCCAGAAAACCCAGATGAGGAAAAAAAAAAACATACGAATAATTTGCAGTTGATTAGTGTCGATATTGGGCATTTAATTCTTCACAAATCATCAATTGGGGTGTGGGAAAATGAACAAATTCTAAATTTTACAGAACAATTTAAATTTTTTGGGGAATTCGGAATTGATTAAAAAAGAGAAACTTTAAGAGAAATTACCCATGAAAAGGAGAAAGAATCAAATTCCATTGTCCTTTGTTTAGCCATTTTCAACTGCTGGTTTGGACTTTGGAGCATCGTTTGCTGGTTGAGAACTGGAAAGTTTTGGGAATATTTAGAGCGAAAAAGAAGAGATGGAGATTGAAATTGACCCGTTGAGTTCTTGTCACTCGGACAAACCTCGGTTTTTTTATTTTTTTTTTTTTTTTTTTTTTTTTTTTTGTTTGTTTGTTTGTTGTTGGATTATATCAATTGAAAACCCAAAAGAGAGGATGGTTAACCAATTGGGCTAATGTTTATAATGATTGGCTGAGAAACATTCAAACATTTAGATTTTATAATTGCTAAAGCTTTATACTCCTTTCGTGTTTAAAATATTTGGAGCATTGTTTTACGTTTAATTTTTTTTAGTAATTTCTTTATATTTTTTAATAATATTCTCTTTATTTTTTAATAATATTCTAATGATTAATGGTCTCCATAAAACCCCTTACTTTCTTTTTTTTCTTTAAATTTATACCCACTACTTATTATTTTAATAAATTAAACCAACCATTTAAAAACTCCGTAAAAGTCAAAACTTTTCATTTATGTAAACACGGAGGGAGTATTTTGAGAAGTAGGTCTTGTGTCAAACAGTTTGACCAAAAGTGAAGTCGGTATAATTTAAGCTTGAACCAAATTATGAGTATTTGTGTAATGATGCTTGGTTTTGTCAATTAGTTTTTGATCAAATATAATGAGAAATTGTATTAACTATTACTCAACAAGTTTAGGGATGATATATTTATATACTATTAGAAGCATAAGAAATGGGTCAATGAGTTTCTTAGTGCAATGTCACTAACTTACACAAGTCTGAAAGTGTTTATCAATGTTCAAAAGACCAAAACATGGCAATATCTTATAAAGTATGTTAATCAAGTATAAGATGTGCCTCCTCAAAACATGTTTATGCTATGATGCTATCATTGTAATGTTCTCTTAGAGTAAAATGTGGGAGGGTGTTGACATATAATTGGTTAATGTGACCCAAATTTTAATAGAAAATTAGATTCACACGTGAATTTGTTGGGATTTTTAGTTATTTAGAGTTTAAAATAGTTTATCGATTTTGATAAATTGTGCTAAACAAAACAAAAATTGTTGCACTTAAAGTAGTATATGGTCCTTTAATTCATGATTACTTGACAATTAATGGATTATAACTTGCACAACATTTTTTCATAAGAAGGCTCAAAAGTTGCATATGTTCTATATTACCATTGTTTTTAGATGATGAGAAACCATTCGTTTCCGAGTTAAGCGTCCAAATAATAACAACGTTCATTTATCCTCAAAAATTGCATGCGTGTTGCATCCCAAAATTTAGAGAGAAAAAATGAGGCTCAAACTAATTCAATTATTTTGCAAGATTATCTTGCATTTTCTCATCCTCTTTGTTGGGATTTGTCAAACACAATTATTAAGGTACGTAAGTGAGATTACTGTTTTTTAAATCATTTTCATGGTAATCTCATATACAACTAATACAAGTACGAAGTCTATAATATATTCTTAAGAACCCCTACTATTCTTGCAAATTTTAAATCCCATACATGATACTTCCTATAGGATTTAATATTGAATAGACGAAATATTATTGTCATTTTGAATATGAATACTAATTAGAATTATGCCAAACTGTGGTTAATCATCGTGTAATTCAGTATTCATTTTAACAACAAAGAATTTGCTTTGGGTGTGTAATATGTAATCGAACTCGTTACAAAATTAGTTGGTTGTTTTAACTTATTGTATGTGTAATAATTTTGCTGTTAATTAACATTCAATTAGCAATATTTCAAATAGCAAAAATGGAAAAGTCTCGATTCTTGTATGCATGAGACGGTCTTAAAGTAAGGTTAGATTAATTTTTTTCTTTTAAAGAACTTACATTTGTACTAGTTTCCAATGTTAAGTTTGTGTTAAGAAGCTTGACAAAAGAAACATGTAATTTTAGATTCCAGTAATATTAGGTTTCTCATTAAGTCATTATTGTTTTGCAAATGAATGTAAAAATATAATGATGCAAATAATAATTTTAGGATCGATATGCCATATGCCTCGATGGCCTCTAGACGTGGCCCTTTACAAGCATGTGGAGCGTCTATGCTAGCCAAAGCCTTAAGCCTCTATAAGAAAGCAACTGAGCTCGATGGACCTGTAGGTTCGGTTACAAGGCGACTAACCAAGGTAGGTTCGAAGATGGTTAGTCGGCCCTTGGTCTATATGGTTCTATATCCATGGCTCGCGATCCTTTTCATTGTTGATGACCTTATCCTATCGATAGAGAAAATGTTAGAGACTCGATTGCAACATGCTTTTGACAAGATTGATTACTTGGTTGGTAAGGTAGAGAATCTTCCTAAGGAGTTTGAGTCGTATGCCATGAGAGATTTGCCCGAGGTATTGTACAAATTTACCTTCCTATACTAAGTCGTCGTATATGCTATAACATGGTTAATGTTTCTTACAATTGTATGTGTAATTTGGGAGGGCGCAAAGGAGAAGGAAATCGAGGTTGATACAAACAGCGATAGCAATCAAAGTAACCAAAACAAAGTGTTACCATCATCTACGCAAGATGTTGTGAACACGGGAGATAATGTTCATACAGTTGGTGCCACTAGCGAAAATAATAAAGGTACATCAACATCATTAATACACTCGTTCCCCCTTTATAATTTACAATTTTTGTAGTAAAGAATTTATTGGAAAAAATACGAAATAATAATTACTACATCCATTTCATTAAAAATCCTTTGTTACAATTAATATGAAACAAAGGCGTACTATATTGATATTTCATTTATTTAATTGTTCTTTTTATAATTTAAATTCTAGACTCGTCCCAACAAGTTGGTAACAAGGAAGCGTCGAAGAAAGGGAAGAAGGAAAACATAAGAATTGAAGAGAAGTCACAAGGAGTTGATGAAAAAGGTATCAAGAATTATAAAGCTACTAAAGATCACAAGAACAAAGATAAGGCGAAACTCGATAATCATCAAGAAACTCAGAAAACAAGACATGATATTAAGACGGGGAATAAGACAGATGATCATCCTTTGTTGGAAATCTTTGACTTTGGTTGGGAAACTCCGAAATCAACCATGTCGCGGCGTAGAGCTTCATACACATAATAGAGATGATGATAGATTTGTGATAGATTGTACGTATAGTAGCTACGAGCTTCACCCCCTAAAATATAATGGTGAAGTTAGAAAGATACACCATGTATGGGAGGAGCTAGTCGATCGAACATAAAAATTGTATTTAGGGTGAAATAAAAATTACTGATCACAAAGAAAGATAAATATATCCGTAATATAGGAGTCACGATTTGACACGTATAACATAAAAATCATACGACATCTACAAAAGTGATTTAATTGTGTTAAATAGGTTGCTTACTATGATGAACAATGGATTGGATATGTTACACATTGTCATACAAAGATTTAGCAGGATACCAATAGGTTTTGATGACAGCTTTAATTGTTAACAACTTAGCATTTCTTCGCATATATTTATGTTAAACAATGATAAATCAATCATAATATTGTTCTAGTCCTCTAGTTCCTTAACGTCAATGATTAGACATGATTTGACAAAATGATCCTTTATCATGAGTAGTTGGGTCATCCCATGCTTAATTAATTAGATTTATATAGTTGTACCCTGAAATTATCAACCAAAATAATCAGTACTATATTTAACAAGGTGATGACAATTTTTCAAGCTATTTCAAAGATGAAGTCATTGGTCTACCGCGTAATATATTGCTTCTTTGGCTGCAATGTCTATTTTTTTTCACTTTCTTATTCCATTATTATCCACAAATATAAAGTTCATGTTAATTTGTTACGGAGTAATTTATAAACTTAATGTTCATATATACTCCGTACCATGGAGTATAAATAATAACCATGTTTGCACTGAACGAAAGTGTTTATTACAAAGAACTGCACCTAATAGTACTCGTGTTTGAATCGAAATTTGAGTTATTGATGCATGTCACGCAAGTTCATTATCTATTCTGAATCTATAAACCAATCAAACAAAATCGATCAACATACATACAATCTGAACCATGGACAGTATTTCTGTAGAACTCGCATGACTGCAAAAGGAAAGAATCATACATACAATCTGAACCATGGACAGTATTGCTGTAGTTCTTGCATAATGGCGAAAGGAAGGAACCATTACCGCGAGCAGAGGAGGTGATTACTGATTCATGTCTAATTATCTAGAGTAAAATTGAGTTTTAACGCCAAAAACCATTTGAAACTGCATGATATTTACTTAAATAGAGTGACTCAAACACTCAATTGCTTCATCCAAGGACCTAGGGCTCTTCTAATGCAAAACTACCATAATACTGTATGAAACTCTGCCCTTGCGACCAACGAAAGGCAAAAGGAAAAAGATCATCCATGTGTAAATTACATTGGCGGGGAGCTGTACATCTCTTCTTCTGTTTAGAAGACTCAAAAATGGGAGCTGCCCATAAGAATTGGGCAAGGGAAGAGTATAAGAAGATACAAGATGAATTTACATCATTCGAGGATGAAGAGTGGCGAAAGTGTGAGATTCCTGGCTTTTGCTAACACTGAGGTCCAGAGAAATTCTTTCTTTTCCCAAAGAAACTAAATGTCTTGCCCAGTTTCTTTCGCGAAACTGCTTTACCAAGGGGCTTTGTTTCAAGAACTGGCAGTACCTTTTCACTATTTGATTTGCTTAGGGGCTTCGGCTCTGGGGGCTGGACTTGAGCTGTGAATTCCCTCACAGAAGGAGACCTATGTACTCTTTGAGGAGAAGAATCCCGCTGTCTCTGCTCTCGAAATAGCATCAGAAGTTTTTGAGCTTTCTCTCTGCCTCGAACTGTCCCGTTGACTTGGATAGACACCAAGGTCGGAATTACCCCTTCTTGTAGCACCATTTGACAGCATTTATCATTCCCATTGCAAAGAAGCAACAGACATGACACAGCTTGTTCCTGCTCAATAGGCTCACCCATGTCCATAATTGATGCGAGTGCACCAACAAGACCAGGGGCTGATGTAACGGCTTCTTTAGCTGTATTATTTGATGCCAAGTTTATGAGAACCGCAATGGACTTTTCGGTCCATGTCTGATCTCTGGGCTCAACCAAAAGAAGTAGTAGACCATTGATAATACCAGATTGAAGGAGGTTAGGAATATTGGATGGGCAAGCAGAAATATTAAAAAGAGCATGAAGGGCATCGAGCTTCCACTGTGGTTCGCATTTGCCAACAAGAAGCCTGATTAGAAAGGAGACTCCCTTGCTCGAGCCTATCACTGGTTTTGCTTCATCAAGGCATGAAAGATTTAGAAAGAGGGCAGCTGCTAATCCATAAGAACCAGGATCAGAAATCATCTCCTCTAGCAGAGGGACAACCCCTGCGGCTAACATTAATTCCTTGTTTCTGTAACAAAAGAGAAACAAATTCATGAGCAAGATTCAACAATGGAATAACACTCTTATAAGAGCATGTTTCAAAAAATTCTGACATAAAATTAGAATATCTATCAGGTGCTTTGGTGTATGGTGCAATCCTCCCCCATCATCTTAACCTTTCAAACTGAAACTTCATGGCTAACAAGCCTAAAGCATTTATCCTAAAGATACAAATCTAAGAATGTCCAGTGGCTTTTTCTTGTTTTCTTTTCAAAGCCAACACCAACTTTTCAAGAGGGAAAAAATGAGAGGGATTTAAGCTTTCAATAACGATGAATTTCAAGTATGCAAGCTTACAGAAGCTCAACAGGTATAGCATGCATGATTTGTTATGTAGGAATCCAAGATAAATCAAATAACGTACTTCATAGTTTATACATCCTCTGAGGTCTACTAAAGCTAGAGATGGATTGATATTCAAAAAGTCCATAAAATGGGATTTCCAAAGCACCCAAGATCAGCCCATCTCAATACTGCAGTAACAGCCTAGTAAAATTCCAAATTCTTGACTGGATAGGACATCGTTAAATGACGACTCATGTGAATATTATTATGGCAATCATTAAATTCAACTTAATTGCAAAGCACAATCTATAGAATCTCTAAGATACCGGAAGTATAAGAAATTATTTTATGTACCGCAACTATCAATATTTCACTAATCCTGAAAAGAAGTTCAAAAGGCCATCCAACGGAAAACATTCAAGATAACCCAACTCAGTATTTAAATATCTAACTGTTCCAAGTTCATGTAGAAATTAGCAAAGCAGACACACCTGTTGTTATTAACAGCAAGGTTGAAGAGTGCCATTGCCCCATCTTCCAACGCCAAATCGTTCCGTTCACCAAGTGCAGACTTTAGAAATCCTACAAGCACTTCAACAAACCCATGAGCACCCATGAACATCCTTGCTTCATCATCATCTTTTAACAACCGTCTTATATGCTCAACTACTTTTAGCTTGGTTCTCAAGTCATCTTCCCCTTGTAGAACAGTCAAAAAGTTCTCACATATACCAATAACATTTTCATTACTCTCTTCCTGCTCGCAAGAACAACTTTCACCTTCATTCCCTTCGATCTCTTCAATAATGCCACTTTCCAAGGGAACAACCTTAACCCCTTTCAGGTTGCCTGAGTTGCTGCTATCCTCAGACCTACACCGTGCTGACTCACAATCCGACAATGCAAGCCTCCAATAGTTGAGATCAAGAGTGTCGGGTGGCCCACCAGGAATAGGAATCCCATTCTGCTCACACCAGCTAGCAATAAGACCCTTCACACAATAATTAGGAGTTACACAACGATGAGCAAGCTGTTGCTGGGACTTTGGGCATGTGTTATGCCCATCACTGAACCATTTTTCAATGCAAATTCTTTCATATGTCTGTCCAGAAGCAATGATAACTGGGTCATACATGAGTTGCAATGAGATTGGACATCTGAGTTCTTCTGGTGGAATGGGTATGTGCTCAGTTCTCCTATTTGTCCTAAACGAAAACGAGGGCCTAAAGTTAAACGAAACAATTTTTGATAGTTGACGGTCAAATGCCCTCCCATTACAAGCACCAAGACCATCCTCAGAAGATCCTTGAACAGTGGGTGAACAGGGTCCAGAACCTTGGGAATCTTGATCATCACCTAGGTCACTTCTGAACAACTTAGAATACTTCCGCATCAGAAATAAAAGGTAAGCTACAATTGATTCTTTTCGTTTATCTTCCTCCATTCGAGCTTTCTCTATGAGTTTCTTGAGAGACCTTCTTTCAGCAAGAGCAGCCCTTGAAGAAGTTATGCCAAGTTTAGATGCAGCTTGGTGGAAACACTCAAGCTCACTATTGTCACTAAAACTGTCATCAAATTTTCTACCCTGCTGAAGCAACACAATTATGTCGTCACCAATTTGTTTCTCTGACGGATCAAGGGTAAAAGCAGTCTCCTCCAGTTCACTAACAATCTCTTGAACCTGCAGCAGGCAAGAGCAAAAGATAAAACAATATTTAAATATTACAAAACAAATATTCTCGAAATAAACATAAACATCACTTAGAACACTTTTCACAACAAAGAGGATCAGTTAGGCCCCAGAAGTACAGGACATCAGAGGGATCAAGCTGTACAGAAGAAACAATTAATGCTGAAAGGTTATTGAGTAGTGAAATCAATAACTTTAACTAGAGCAACTTTTTCAAAAGCCTGTACAAAACTATAGGCCTGGCATTTGGGTAAACAAAGGACCAGAGATTAGCAAGAGCATAGTTGCTATGAATGTTGCTCTTCTAATTGGACTACACTTGATGCTTCAGAATACCTAACAAGTATAGAACATTACACACCCACATTTAGAATACCAATATGATAAACAATAAATCCACAAGTAGGTGTTGACATTAAATGCTAAATACTTCGTATAAAGGAATGACAGTAGTGCCTAAAAACACTTGATGAAGATCACTCAAATAAAAGGTTTTTGCAAGGAGTTTTATCACAATCACTGACTAAATATCGACAAAAACTCTCCACGGTAAGAATATCCCAAAGCAAGAAGGATAAGAAAGTTGTTTCACTAGGTGATGCAGAAATATACACCCAATGTAAATTACAATGCAAAACAGCATGAGAAAACTAGACAATACAATTTAAAACAAAGGACCAACCTGACAACCAATTGATTGTGGAACAATATCTTCAACCCGTTTAAGACTGTCTACAAGCGCAGATTTCATCTTTTCAAACTTCAAAACAATAGAATCTCCAGTAATAGCCTGGAACACACAAACAGAATATTCATCATTAGAATTATAATTTATGGAGTAATGTTGGATGCCATCATGAAAAATGATGATTTCCTCGGGCCCTTGTGCCTTACGACATCACTACGCGATACACTCAAGCCGTAAAGGACAAGAGGACAAAAATACAGAGTAGGAATGTAACAGGTAGGTATTAAAGGTATTATGTAAACCCGAGGCAGTAAATATAAAGGTTCATGATGCAATTATTATTTCTGAATTTCTGAAATTTGTAAAAATACCAGGTAAAGTTTGCTACACTCTGAGCAATGTTGTAATAGATTTCTGGCCTTCTCAAGTGCTACGTGCAGAGAACATAATGCCTGGATTCCTGGCCTACTTCGTGGGCGTGCTGCTTCTAGAGCAGGAAAGATATTCAACACTTTACAGTATATATTGGAAAAAAGCTTGCACATTCCTCCATGTAACTGCAAAAGAAATAAAATTTATTAATGAAAGCCACCAGAAGTTTCATACAAAATAAATCCGGCAGAGACCCTCAATTCGCTGGATGCATGTATCAAGTAAATCAAGTGCAAAAAGTAACGTAACATCACACTATCACAGCACCCCAACTTCAACATATACAGAGTAATTTTTCAAAAATAAGACACTGTTTCTAGCTTTATTGATCATAATTCTATTTGAACTAAAAAAAAAAAGAAACGATACTACTCACGTACAATAAACATGGACAGGGTAAAAGGTAAGCAAAATAAATGTCAAACTACATGATAACATGATATAATCTCCATTTTCATCAACTTTTTTCAAACTCCAAAAGAGATGGGAGTAATTCATACAGCCAACTGGTCCGTTCACCAATCCCATCTAACACGAGAAAAAAAAAAAAAAAAAAAAAAAAAAAAAAAAAAAAAAAAACATCATACTATATATAATCAGCATCTTCAGACACAATTATTAAGCAGCACAAAATAAACTAATCAGTATATTAAGAACAGGTCCAAAAACTAATTGGTTTTTCTGCGGGAGTCCGCAGAGGTACCAATCTTTACACTTTTCAACCGCCACAACCATCACCCAACCATTTGAGGCACCACTACTAACATATGATGCAGCAAAGCGCAACCATTTGATGTAAATCCGGCAAGACAGTAACTCTAACTATTCACCACAACAATAATCTCAAATACCTCCACACCACAACAATAACTGCTGCCAATTTAACCAAAAAGAAAAGAAAAGAAAAAACACTGCAGCCAAAAAAAATACCTCCACACCTATCCAAGGTTCTACCACAATTAATTTAGAAATGTGGAACAGGACTCTATTACAGCAGGAATTCAATAATACGATAATGAAAGCTCAATGTTAGAGGTTTCATACAAAGAAAAGAACAAACCTTGGCATCACTAATTGCAAACAGGTTTTCTTCTAACTCTGCAATTTCCATACTTTCCAACTGTTCTCTATTGCCTAACTCTATATCTGCAGTCTGGAAAAAAAATCAATTAACCAATAAGTAAACAAATTGATGCAGATGGGTATAAGAGAAATTAACAAACCTTCATAGTCCAAAATAAATATACAAAATTTAAAAAGCACCCATTTTTTTTTTTTTTTTACATAAGAAGCTCTAACAGGCTCAGAATGATTAAAAAACAGAACCCATTAATCTTAATCTAACTTTTAACATTTGAAAGATAAAAAATTTGATGGTTATTCTGTAAAATGGGAAATTTTCAATGATTGAAATAAATGAAGATTTGTAATATGTTATAAACCAATAAGATCAAACTGAAATCATTTTCAGAAAGAAAAAAATTAAAATTTAAAAAAGAATTTCTTTCAGGTATTCCATCAAACATCTGGTTTCATATCATTAAAAGGCGAAATAATCAGCCCTATAACCGCCAAGATCTTAGAAATGAACAGAGGAAGCTTACAATTTCTGGAAAAAAAATCATACAAAAAAATAATTCCCAAAAAGTGATATAAATTTGAATTTCTTCCGGTTGTTAAATAACCCATAAATTAAAAATAGCCAACGAAAGTGGCAATGCAAAATCGCGGGATTGCAAAGTTTCCGTAAATACCCAAATCAAAAATCAGAAATTTGGGCAAATTCTTATCTCAAACAACCGAAAAATTAGGGTTATGAAGATTAATTACCCAAAAAAAGCGGACGCGGCCAAGGAGGCTTCATAAACGAGCTAATTAACTAGATAAAACTTATCTGAAAAAATTAAAAAATAAAAAACCCACCAATAAAAATAGAAATTAGGGTTCTTGTGATCTAAATTTGATGAAATTAATGGTGTTAAATCTGAGGTGAGATTGATCAGTTGAAGAGGAGAGAGAAAGAAGAAGATATAGAGAGAGAAAGTGAGAGGAGGGAAAGGGTGTGCTTGTTTTAGCTCAGAATATGCTTATTCTATTGTCTAAAACCTTAGTAAATGGAAAGGAATATTTTTAAACTATACCAAGTTTTTTTTATTACATATTCTGCCTTTTTCAGTCTTTTTTATTTGATTTTTGCAAATATTTTATGCTCATAATATTCTTCCCTTTGCATTTAACTCTTTGGATAATTAAGGGTGTATTTTATTCGCATGATATTTAATAATTTGAATTTAATAAATTATAGGGTAGTCTTTTAACTCTTATCCGAAATAATAAATTAAGCTTACTTGTTTCATTAATTCTTGGAGTAGTTTTTCCAAAGTAAAATGAAAATGACGTGAACATAACAGGATCTAATATCTTCAATATTTTGCCAAAATTATTCACCGAATCTATTAACTTATACTAAAATCGAATAACCAATGACACTTGTCATTACCTTGTGAAAAATTTTCCCGCCTTTTTTTCCCCTTTTTTTTTTTTGCAAATTCTTTACATAAACTAATTATACCGTATGATATTTTCTTTCCAGTTTGACAATCATATTTCATATATACCCAAATGAAATATTTCAATATATCTTTTATATACTTTATATTTTGTAATATTATTGTCAAAAATATTTAACAACCGTGCATTGCACGGGATTTTAACCTAGATTATCATTAATGGTTAATGTTATGTATTGACAAACATACTTATCAAAGTGAAACATCTAACAAGTCAAGTGACGTCAAAATCTAACAAGTCAAATGAAGTAAACATACAATAATTTGATTGTCTAACTAATCTCAAACTTGAGGTAATTCTGCTACCGTTCCTATTTGAGTTCAATTTTATTGAGTTTGAAATTTTAAATTATCATTCAACCAAGATTAATCAAATTACTAGTATTAGAAGTTGATATACTCTCAAAAGTCAATAAGGGGTTAATCAAGTCAATTTGGGTCAAATCAAAATCAATTAAAGATAATTTTGCATTGAGGTCACATCAATAAGGGGTTAATTTTGTTTTAGGAATGGTTATGCTTGTAATAACTCAAGTCGGGTTAGATTTAACAACAGTTTTACTACTTATACTCACTCTAATTAGTCAGTTCTGAATTATTTATAGTTTAGTTTTGAGGGGAATTTTTTAATTTTATATTAAATCAATTCATGTGTCTTAATCTCTTAATAGTTACTTTCTCCGTTTCTTTTTAATCAACACGTTTCTTTAGTCACGCTTGTCAATGCATAACTTCAACTATTATAAGCAAATTTATGAAAAGTTGACATTTTGAATATATATATCGCACCGAATCAAACAAAATCTCAAATGACTATATTTTTCATTACGTGTAAAACACAAAATACGGTAAAAAAAAATATATAAAAAGTGATAAAGTCAAAACGTTTCAACTAAAAAAAACGAAGGTAGTATTTCAATAATTTTAAAAAATGTTACCCCGAATCAAATTATTGCATTCAAATTATATATATATGGTCCTATAATTTTGGAGCTAAACAAAAAAAAAAAAAAAAAAAAAATTCTCTTGCATCTCCCTGATTGACCGGCCGACAATAGCCGGCCTCCTTGTTTGTCGCATTCTACATCTATTTACTTATTCATAAATTAATGTCACTATTGCCTATTATTGCCTTTTCACTCGGGCAAAGTATTCATTTATTTATTTTTTTTTATTTTTATTTTTTAATTGTTGTAATTTTTGAACACATGTTTTTTTTTTCTTTTTTTTGGTCTCTTAGGTTAAAAGGTAAGGTAAGGTTAATAATTTCTTGTTTCCTTTATTGGTTGTGCTAATGATTCAAATTCGTGATTCATGACAACTTCTTGTACGATTTGGAAAGGTTAAATCAATGTTTGAATTAAGGAATTGAATTAAAGAACTAACTATTTAACTAATAAGATTTAAAATTTGAAGGTGTACTTGATTTTCTTGTAATAAAGCTTACAATGTTTTAAACATGATGGTTAAGTTTTACGTGATCAGAGTAAAAATTAACAACTATGTCATACTCTTATGATCATTTCCTTGGCCCCCTTATAAATTAATGTACATAATTACTCTTTTTCTTCGCATATGGACAAGCTTTAATTTTAAATGTGTTTGTTTTGTCTTTCTATACGTTTCATATTACCTACTGCTTAATTAATTTCTATATTAATTTGCCATTATAAATATTGGTGCATTATTTTTTATGTTGTTGAACATATCAATGAGTTATTAATTATTATATAAGATACTCGTAAATGTCTAGCATGAAAGCATTATCAGCTAGCTAGATGAAAATCAATCTCAAATCACCTGAAATCGGGAGGAGAGCTTTAACCACTTGAGCTATCTCTCACACTCTCGACATATTATGCATTACATACTACATTTTGTACTCTATCATCCTCTTAAATATGAACATTCTGGATGATGATACTGTTAAGATAATTATGTAAATAATTAGCTTAGTCAAACTGTATAGTTTGTTTCCTAGTTTATAGGATATGTTTAATATTGTTTCCTTGATATTAGTCTAGGATTATGCCTAGATGATATGATGTATGTTTGTATAAATATGGTTGAGCAATGAGGAAGCAATTCACGGAAAGTATTCTTTCATGGTATCAGTAGACTAGGGCGATTCTCTTCCGCTGCACCCTAGCTCTCGTTTCCAGGACAATGCTTATTATAGAGTTTAAACACTTTAGCACCATAAAATAAGTGAAAAGAGTCTTACCATCTTTTTTTAACTCTCAACTCTAGTACTCTGTACATTTAAATTAACTTTTACTACAATATATTGGGGTGTATTTATATTGTATTTTGTTTTATATACGAAGTATATTTAATTTTAATACTCCATACATAATATTTTAGAACTCAAATTAATACAATATCACAATGTATAATTCATGTAACAAGTTGGAGCATCATCCTAGACACACTATAGTTTTGTCTCCAAAGACATCCATAAAATGTAAAAAAAAATGTGCATACATTATCATATGCAATTCTACACTTTACATCAGTTACTTTTATGTATCAAAAAAATAACAGCTTGTCGTTGTTGCTTTATTGATTTGCTAATATAAATTTTTAGTTAATCAAACATGTAAAAAGATATTATCTTTTCTGAAACTATATACTTTTATGAGTTTGACAAACGTTATATGTAGCAAAATAATTCCTTATTGGAGAAGCGAAAAATTCGTAAAGATGAAAAACTCGTAAATTTCTTATAACTTAGCTGATTTACTTTTGAGATGGCTAAGCAATGGGAACTTTTTTTTTTTTTTTTTTTTGTTATAATTTGATATGGTGTTGAATTATTATAAATATGAGGGTTTATACTTTAAATAATTATAGTGAGAAAACTCAGAATAGCCATTATTATATTAACCATTGAGATTTAACATTCAACTACATAATTACTCAGTACCCTATTATTATATGGATTGCAAGTAATCATTATTAGTTTATTGATCGATCTACACAAATGGGGAAAAAAAAATCTCATAGCAACCATCAAAATCATACAGCCGTTACTCGATATGGAGTAGTATATGTCTCTACATTTGCATGATAGATGTGAGGTGTAGCAATAACTATAATCATTAAGAGTAACAAAGAGGAGGAAGTTTTGGCCCACGACCAAGGTTAAAAGAGGTTTCATACTAAAATCAATTGGTGATAGTAGGAGAAACTCCTCTAATAGCTTATATATAAAGTGGAAATATTTCTCCACTTTCTCTAATATGAGATACTCACAAGTGGGTTCAATAGATTTCAACAAGTGATTGTATGTCAAGATATTTAAAATTTGTTACTGTATTTCATTATATGTTGTCTCGTTAATAATTTATCATCCAGTAGTCCATGTACGTACAATATATAATATAAATATTTTGAAAAAAGCGGGCGTACTTTATAACTTTAAAGTAACGAGTGTATACTTGCTTAATTGGTACTTATCTCATTAAGTTTAGATAATTTCAGACTTAATTTGTACTTGTATTGCTAATTTGCTTGTGCAAACCAAAGAATCCTTCTTTTCATGGATAACGAGGAGTTCGATGATATGATACTTATATAAAAATAAGATAAGAAGTACTCGTATATCACAATTTAGACGGCCATCAATTATATATTTATATACTGATTTAATTTCATTATTTTACTTCAAAAATAAATTATTTATATCATCCGTAGCGTGTACATAGTTGTATTTAGATGTCTTTGATTTGGGCTACTAAAAATAAAGTAACTTATTCTCGAAGAATGAGATAATGAGATGCAATAAGCAGATCAATACATTGAACAATTCAAGAAGAGTGAAGTTCATTCATTCATATGTATAAAGCCTCACTTTGATAGTCTTTTTTTTTGGTTGTCCGAAAAGTCGCTTTGAGAGCTATATTTTAATTTGTATTACGGAGTACAAATTTACACTCTGCTTATACTCTTAGGTACATAGCATGTGGTGAAATAGAGAACATGAGAAAGTGTGATTATGCATTCTTGTGTATGTAAAATGGAAGCCTTAATATTGATAATTAGGGATAGTCGTAGACCGTAGTCAATGACATAAATGTTAAATACGAATCTACAAAAAAACAAAATAATACGGAGTATATATCTACAACAATAAAATATAAATAATAATAAACCCTTAAATAATGTATACAAATCGTGAATCAGTAATTTTAGAGATACCATCATTAGCAAATTTTTTTGTAAATTGTCTACAAAATCACATGCCTATAATTTAATCCTAAAAAAGTTTCCCAAGTAATTTATGCCTAAATGCATGGTACGAACAAAAGAGCTAATAATTGTACCTTATTTACTCTAATTTAAACTTCTTAGTTACGGAAGCAAATTGAAATTCAAAATTTAACTCCATTAATATGAAATTGGAAAGGAAGCATTAAAAAAAAAAAAAAAAAAAAAAAAAAAAAAAAAAAAATATGTTTAGTCTAGTACCTTTTTTTTTTTTTTTTTTTGACAACGTAGTCTAGTACTTTAGTTTATGATTATTGCCACAATGCCATTCTAATGACTATATGTGTAAAGGGGATTTAATATGGTGAGGTGGAAGAGACATAGTTGACTACTGATCAGCGGGT